CTGAGATAAATTCTAGTGACAAAATGCCATTGACAGTAATGCATGGAGTGGGGAAATCGTGGAAGGAATGAAAGGAAGAAGGAAATGATTGCAGAAAGAATGAGAGCTGAGCGCCTGAGAAGAAGCACACATAATACACGTGAGGGCAACAACGGTCCGGAAACACCAATGCTGTGATTGTGGACGACTGTTGTTAGAGCGGATGGGTCTTGCTAGTCACACTTGGGCCTTGAGTTTCATGCTTCCTCATAGTACAATATAACAATGTTGTCAGGACAGACTGAAAGGAGCCAACCAACTAGGACTGAACCACCATGCGTAAGGCGCCGTGTAAGGGCATATAGTGCTAAACCTATATTTCATAGACTAATTGGCACTCAGTGAGTAATACGGTTAACATCACGCCGACCACCTTTACTTCACAGGACTTACATGGTACCAATAAAAGGTTAAGTCGACCTCGGAGCCAATGTCATTTTTGAAAGAAAAAAAAATCTTGATTTGAACCCACCACCACCACCTTCTGATCCGCAGGCGTGTGTCTAGCCGCTACATCCATACAATAGTAATAGTAATAATCGTACGGATAAAGTACGTTGAGCGCGCCCCTTTCTCACCCCTAGAAAGTTTTTTTTTTTAAAATCCAGAAACCGTGAGTTCTTAACCCTTTGGCTCGGTACTGTGTATATCGCAACCCTTAGGCCTTGATTCCGTGATAGGTACCGTAAATCTGGTGAAAATGTGGCTTTTCTGCCTACTCCTGGGAGTGAACCCAGACCTCAAGGAGTTCGTAACCCGGTCTTAAATACCAACCTTGGCTCACAGTATGTGGTAATGCTGACAGATGCTAAATCAGTACTTGAAGCACTCCAGTCTAGGAAACTATCAGAATTGCAAACACTGCTGACACAACTCAGCCTTCAGCGAAGAGTCGTAATGCGGTATATACCGTCTAATTGTGGAGTGCCTGGAAATGAGAAAGCTGATCAACTGGCAGGGGAAGGTGCGACAAAAGAGCAGCCGGATGTACCAGTCACATACCACCAAAAGAAAAGAATAATTAAATCGATCAGGAAACCACCAGCCCCAGCACAAGACGACTATTTTATTATGGACAGACCAGAACAAGTCATTATCCTCCGCCTCAGAACAGGGCACAACCGATTACGTAACCACATGTACACACAATTCAAGATAGGTGTCTCAGGCTGATACTATCAGCCATGTGCACATGTGGAAACGTGCCCCAGACAGCAGAGCATGTACTCCAGGACTGCATCGAATTTGACACATTAAGGCAAACCTTTTGGCCCGAAAGAACAACAGTGGAACGTAAACTCTATGGACCACTGAATGAGCTAACAACGACAGTGAAATTTATACAAGTGACAAAACTGCTGATATAGACAACTTATTTCAGGCGAACGAAAGAAGAAGAAGTAACCAGGTCACCGCGAAGTCAGGTTTAGCCAACTACGCTAGAGAGCCGAGCCTCTAGAAAGTTATAAGGGGAGTGAGATTCTTCTCTGAACCAATAATATATTGTTTTGTTGCGGTGGCCCTGCCACTATAACTATATTTTGTCGACTTTAACAAAAATGATGAAAACATAAAACAGAAGCGCCACCTCTCCCTTTCAGGGAGTAGTACTTGACGCAAAATGTATATATTAAAAACAAACACTACCCTACATTTTTTTAGCAATTCAAAAATATAAAAAATTTCATATTTAATAAATTTAAATTGTTTACAGATAATAGCTCTAATATTTGAGTTATTAGTATAACCAAACAATAGGAAGAAACGCACAAGGACCGGTCCCAATGCAACTATTGTTAGAAATGTGCGTCCCTTGCGACCAGATAAAGTCGCTGGAGAATTTGTCCCAGTCAAGAACCCAGGACAGATCCTTGTAGTTGGTTACCTGGAGATCCCACTGGCACGGGTTACTCAACCGTTTCTCCGGGGACTTGGATATCCTTGTTTGAGAATGCCTAGGAGGGCTTTGAGATGTGTTGTCGATCTGCACGTTCATGCGGTAAGCAAAATAACTGCACAAATTGATTATTTATTTAGTAAATTCATTGATTCCTGTTTTTGCAGTGTGGATGGCTATGTCAAAATTGTAATAAAACGGTGTAGCTGTGTCGTTTATGTGTAGATGATACTTTGCCTGCATGTCCTATCATGTTTCTTTAAAATCCCGCTGTACATTTTGAAAAAAAAATTTGTTATAGTTACCTGTAACTGCTCAAAATGTACCAACTGCTATGTTTTTCTAAATAACCTGCAAATAGAATTTATAATTTCTACAGTTTGAATAGTTTAATGATTACAACTATTCAGATTGTGAGAATGATAAATTTCATATTCGATTTAAATTGCTACTTTGATAATATCAAATGATATCAATGATATTGATACCCACTCTGTTCAAAGTGTTGCTTAATTTATCTAGTCTGTAACCTCTTTTCCTGACAGTTGATAATTCAGTTTAACCATCTGTGTAGAGCTATGTTTAACCCCCCCCCCCCCACCACCACCACCACCACGCACACACAAAAAAAGCACATTTAAGATCAGTAAAGAGCTGAATTCTTCTTTTCTTCTTCTTCAGCATTCTGAGCCCTCGAGGTTTATTGCTGTAGATATCACCCGCCTCATCTCTCTGGTTGGCCTTCTCCCTCCAGTTAGTGATACCAAGTATTTGTAGGTCTGCAGGAAATTATCTCTCAATCTTCTTCTTGGTCAGCCCCGTGGTCTATTACCCTTCAGCTCCCTTGTGTATGCAGTTTTTACCTCTCTGTCATCTGACATCCTGTCAATATGCCCCACCCATTTCAGTCTATTAGCGCACATGATGCCAGCAATCAGTGGTGATTTTAACAAATAATGAATTTGTGAGGGTTTATATACTGCAGTGGTTGGGACCTATAGAGAGAATGTCAGATAACAGATAGATGAAAACTTGGTACACAAAAAAGGTGAATGATAGAAGACCATGAGACAGACCAAGAGTACAGTAAAGTGATAATATACATGTAGACCTACGAACATGTGAAGTCACCAACTGGCAAGAGAAGGCTTATTGAAGAGATCAGTGGAGGTGGTTGATTTCTGCGGCAATATACCCCAAGGTTTGGAATGCTGAAGAAGAAGACTGAACATAAGACCACCAGGTTAATAGTCAAATGTACCAGCACTGCACTACTGCAGCTCCCCGAATCACTTGTAACATTATGAAAAAATCTTTATTTGAAATCGAAGAGGATTAAGATCTTCTTCTTCATCCCTTTCTGTTTTACTGCTACTGTTGTCAAAAATATTATTCTTGATATTTTTCAGGTATCTGCACCAGGTGTTTGGTTGCCCAGCAAGGAGCCAGTCTACCTCAGTATTTCACTTTTTAATCAGTATAGAAATACTGAATGTTATGATTCTGTCTTTCCAGTCCTCATCAATGAGAAATTTAGGTTTGAGAAGGTAAAGATTCCGTTTTTTTCTGTTCAAACATTTTTTTTTAAAAGATAGTATGTGTAGGCTTTAAACTTTAATATAACAAATTTAGTTTAAAACAATTGTGAGTAATTTAAAAAAAAAATGTTCTACTATTATTTCCATTCTCTTTCACTCCCCCACACTCTAGGGCTGTTACTTAAAGGTCTGACACCCTGAATTTACATCTCAATCTGGGTGGCAGACCAACAGGACTTATTCCAGATACCCTGTGCAACCTCAAAAATTAGACCATCCATAATAGCTACACCAGTCCGATATAACCTGCATTCCTTTCTGGCAAGGACGTGTGTAAACAGTATACAATTACTTTTTTATTTTACCGAGAGAATGCTCTTTTGCAGGTTCATTGATAATACAGACAAAAAAATTATAGTTGGTCAGAACTTCAAGGTCCATGTGTGGGTTCTGGGGCTCCATTTAAGAGTTGACTGCCGCCCTCCCTAGCAAGCATATCATAAAAGGCGACTCATTAGGGGTGTTTCCTTCTCAGTCAGAGTACATTTTACCAAGAGGTGAGGAACTAACTGTTGCAGTACAAATAAGCCAGATCTGTAAAATGGATGTGCATGCAAAGCTCAAGTTCTGGAACAGGACCAAAGTCCAGAAGTGGACAAACAATGAGAATTGTCCACTATAGTTTAAAGCCAGAGAATTGTCCACTATAGTTTAAAGCCAGAGAATTGTCCACTATAGTTTAAAGCCAGAGAATTGTCCACTATAGTTTAAAGCCAGAGAATTGTCCACTATAGTTTAAAGCCAGAGAATTGTCCACTATAGTTTAAAGCCAGAGAATTGTCCACTATAGTTTAAAGCCAGAGAATTGTCCACTATAGTTTAAAGCCAGAGAATTGTCCACTATAGTTTAAAGCCAGAGAATTGTCCACTATAGTTTAAAGCAAGAGAATTGTCCACTATAGTTTAAAGCCAGAGAATTGTCCACTATAGTTTAAAGCCAGAGAATTGTCCACTATAGTTTAAAGCCAGAGAATGCTAAGAAAAAGAACATCAGCAATTTTTTTAAAAAGTTGTTTCATAACGGATACTGCAATTGGGATGTAAGTGTTAGATCTTCTCATATTCTAGGCCATCACAAGGGTTGCAGGGTGGTCAGTTCCCAAGAGTTGCAGGGTGGTCAGTTCCCTCTCTTATCACCATTTCCTTCCCAGAAAGTTCTGGAAATTGTCTAGTATCAATTTGTATGGGGCTGGGTTGACCCGAGAGCCTTACTGGTAGGACCAGACAACTGTTAGAGTCACTGTGCCACTATGGCTCTACAAGGATACCATAAAATTTAAAAAATGCAATGAATGTTGTGGGTAAACAGTATCAAACTATTTAAAAAAAATAAAGTAAAATATAACTGAAAGGAGGATAATATTTGAATACTGGTTGAGCAACATATTTGGACTTTCATTTGAACACACATGTAATAACAAATATATAACCTACCTCTAGAGCTGTAAATCACATTTCAATTACAGACATACTACACTGCTGTTGATCCAGCACAGGTAGCTGAAATACTTGAAGGTGAGTGTGTTTTTTAGTTCAGATTAATGCAGTCAGTTTGTTTGTAACGGTTCATCCAATTCACATACTGCTGTAGGAGTATGAAGTGTTAGAATTGTATATTCACTAAGCATTGATTCCCCATGTGGGTGTTCTAAGGACCGGGAACGTATAGACCCGCTGCCATCCCCCCCCCCCCCCACCACTGAGTATGCCATATAAAAGGTGACTAACCTGGGATGTTTCATTCACAGTTAGAGTACATCTACCTGAGAGGTGAGGAATCAACAGAGTGCATACAAATAAGCCAGGTATGTAAATGGGATGGATATGCATGCAAAACTCAAGCTTCAAAACAAGACCCAAGTCTGGAAGTGGATGAACAGCAATAACTTTGTGCTGGATATAACCATCTAAGAAGAAGAAAACTAGGCATTGGCATCTTATTCTTCTACTCTCATCTCCTAATTGAGTATAGACCCTCACCAAGCTGTTAATAGAGTTCATTATGATTAACTAGATTTTGCAACTCCAATTTTTATGGGAGATAGGTAACTAGTCTCACGCGAAGTGGTTAGACGCACCTGCCGGCTCTGATGGTCAAAGGTTCAAATCCAAATCAGAGCAGAATAAAAAAAAAAATTGATCTTGTCACCCAGATCAATGTAGAATAAAATGGATAACAGGTAAATGTCCTTGACAAGCAAAAGCATGCTGTTGACTGCATCACCCATTGAGTGCAGTTTTCTTGCCTACTATGCTTAAGTACCACCTAACTCTTCCAAGCCCGAGCAAAGCTGTATGTGTTGACCGAGAAGGTCCAATTTGACCAGACCACACAGTCTGTGTCGATTTTGTGTCCTGCACATATAAATTCACATACTGCTCTGTATTCACTTTAAATTTCCAGGAACTATCATTATAATATTCAGGTAAGGTTATTGTAAGGTTTTTACTTTTTTTTTTTTCAAGTCTTTGTTCAGTGAATTTTCTGATTTCCTCTTCAATTAACCATGGATACCAATGTTCCTACCACAAACACAGGCCGCAAAAATGTACCTTTCTGCGGCTGAAACTCTGAAGTTGTTTCAGTCAGTGTTTTTATTTGTGATAATGAAAACTTGAATTTTTTTTTGTTTGAGTGATTCAGACGGTGACTTTACACTAGCGGCTACTGAGCGCTCAGCTGTTAGAAACCGTGGATGAGGCATAGACATAGGTGAAATCATGTCATCACCTTCCTGTCCTCATATTTTTGTACTCTAGATAATAATATTTTTTTGTGTACCTATTTCACAAGGCCACTGGTTCTCATGGAGTCTAGATAAGTGGGAGTCTGATCATGTTCAATTCTACTTCACTTAAATCCAGTGTCAAGCCATTGTTTAATAGTTCTTTATGGCAGATTTATCCAATCTCAGGGTTTAACCAATCATCAGTCAGGTGTTATCTCCCCAACAAAAGTCTCCATCATTCTTCATCTCTTACCTTGGGTGTATACTCAGACAGATTGTTGTTTCCTCAATCATTTATTAATGACCCCATCATCACTGAGTGCCAGCTGGTCTAAAAAAATATGAGTCCAACATCATATGCCCAGTACGCCACTGGTGCAGTGTTGCGACTTTGGATGTTTTACACCCAGATTTAGATGTTTTCCCTTGCATTTAGATGGCGTTTTTGACATTTAGATGGTAGATGTTTTTCATTAGGAGTGAATTTATCAAATCTAACCTAAAAAAAATAAAGGATTAAATTTAACCTCTTAAATGCTCTCTTGACAATAAAATGTCGCCTGATAAGAGCAGGAAAAAGCTGTTCCACTTATCAGCTCCCTGATTGGGTATTAAAAGAAATTGGAACAGCTAAAGCATACCAGAGTCATTTTGGATCTGAAGCTTCAACTTCATCATCCAAGCTAAGTTTATCCTGTGGATCTAGTGAGGCAGACTTCAGTAAAGATTAGGACATGATTCTAAAGGGTAAGTCATATCAATTGCTATGTAATTTGTGACTTTTTCCATTTGGATGATTTTTCTAGATGTTTTCCACGCAAATTTAGATGTGTTTAGATATTTTTTGACTCCGGTTTGGATGTTTTTTGTCAAAGAAAAGTGGCAACACTGCACTGATGTTAGAAAGATCTTTTACTTATTTACTTATTTGTCTCTTCAGATCATCATTATTATTTAATAAAAGGTAAAAGGTTATGGTCGAGAGGATCGATCATTGCACCGGGTTCTATCCCATATGGCTGAGCAGAATGGCTAGCTGCCTGCCGAGAGCATCGTACAGAGCACGAACTCCGTAGCTCCGGCAACAATCCCCAGGGATGTACTTAAAAATTGCACTCATGAACTGAACAACACGGCCATGCAATGAACCCACAACCTTCAGAGCATGAGGCAGATTACTTGACTGCTTCGTCATGGAAAATGGCTCTGTATACTGAGCAGACATAATTTCCTCATTGTAATACAGAATCTAGCATATGGTCACATGACTATGTGTTCAGATTACTACCCGTGTGCCATGATGTTGGTCCGTTGTTCAAACTTCAAACTTCGGATCACCTTTTCAGGCATTTTTCCACTGACCTAGGATTTCAGTGCACACTGCCTAAATGTGATATTGCGCTCATAAAATATTTTGTCTTTAATCTCTATTTGCAGATGAGCTTATAATTTTTGAACTGGTTCAGCTGTCAGAGTATACAGATGGTGCCGTGAGGTTAGCATCGTACTCCACAAATGCTCGTGACTTCCTGTATCCTTACCCATGTCTCGCTCCATCATATTCATCTCACGATCGGGAGATTCTCATGTGCAGAACAATTGCATTCCCTGTAAGTATGAGAACTGTTCACTGTTTCCTAAACTGTTACAATTACCACTTATCAAAATTAAAATTGAAAGACCATTTTAACACCAGTTTTGCATCAGTGTGTGATGTTAGACTCATGTTTTGATTGATCAGGCAGTACTAAATAGGTGAATTTGGTCTTCATCATGCTATCTGCCTTTACATAACGTTACCTGGTACCCCTTTTAAACTGAGTTCGCCTGGGAATCAAGGTTAATTTTGTAAAATTCCTCTGACTGAATACAGATTTAAATGCCTGACTTTATGGCTGGCCTGAAAGGTGAGCATCTACCCACTAAGCTATTGTGGCCCTTGCTGCACATTGAAGATAACTAAACGTTAAAGTCGAGAGGAATGACTTTATTGCAACAGATTTGATCCTATATGGCTCCGTCGCTTTCCACAAATGGATAGCCACCTGCTGAGCATGTCACACAAAGCACAAACTCTGTAGCTCTATTGATGATCCTCAGGGATCTCCATAAAAACTGGAACGGGGCAGTCGTGAAATGAACCCACAACATTCAGAGCTTGAGGCAAGCAGCTTGACACCTTCTCCACGGAGACTCACCACAGAGATAACTAGATACTGAGCCAGAGTTTGTTAACATTCATCTTCTTTTCTCTACTCCTGGAATGTCTTGCAGCATCAGGGCAGGAAAAGATATCTGGAATGGACCCTTCTGTTCACTTTGTATATAGTACTTTTTTCATGTGTGTAATAATTCAGCAGTCCATCTGCTGTGTGGTTGACCTCTGGCTCTGTTACCACTATATCTGTATAACATTGCTGTCTGTGGTGCCCTGTTTGTTGTCAGTCTTGTTACATCTGATCTGTTATCTGTCAATAAAGTTCAGTGTTGGTTCTATGCTGATTAGCCTCCTAATATCATCTGTGAACAGCAAATAGTTAAATCTTTGGAGGAAACCTTACCACTGCAGGCATAATCTTAGCCAGTTCAAAAGTTCTGCTTTTTTTTTTACCCGGTATCATGAAGCTTCTCTTTATGAATTACAGCTGGTACCTTATTTAATTTTTCAGCAGCCAAGATACATTTTCAAGCTAATTAACGATTATGCCTATCAGTTCAGTTTTTTTTTACATGTACAATGTGCTGTGTTTGAAAACTGTGAGGTTTGTGAGTGTGCCTGCACACACATGCCTGTTAGCTTTGTTTTATTTTTTTTATTTTAAAAATATTTAATAAAATGTATGTTCTTCTGAAGCACAAAAATGTTTTCTCAGAATCATTTAATCACAGTTGTTTGTCGCTTTCTTTTCAGGGCATTTCTCCTAAGCTAGAATTCTCAACAAAAACGGTGATTAAAGAATCAATGGCATCAGCACTGGATGTACTAGAGGATGGCGAAGAGTCAGGAAGAGTAAGTTTATTTAAATGCAGATATATTTCTGGTCTATATTTATGTTAATTATAGTTATAGATTGACAGAGTTACTGACACCCTAGACTTTACTACGTCACATCATATCAAGTAGCGGAGCTCAGCTGTCTGTCATCTTTAAAAACTGTGATGCCTGTTATCTTTAAAAACTGTGATGCCTGTTATCTTTAAAAACTGTGATGCCTGTTATCTTTTAAACTGTGATGCCTGTTATCTTTTAAACTGTGATGCCTGTTATCTTTTAAACTGTGATGCCTGTTATCTTTAAAAACTGTGATGCCTGTTATCTTTTAAACTGTGATGCCTGTTATCTTTTAAACTGTGATGCCTGTTATCTTTTAAACTGTGATGCCTGTTATCTTTTAAACTGTGATGCCTGTTATCTTTTAAACTGTGATGCCTAGTGGCACAAAGCAGACATTCACAAATGAAAAATTATTACGATGGTAAAAATATTATTTATAGTACCATCTTTCATTAATTTTTCCATCTTGATCAGTGTTTCCTACTGAAGCACTGGGGCATTAGCTGCCTCTGTCAGATTGGGGTGGGAGAGGGGGGCTAGTGCAGCCTGAGAGAGGGTGTAGGAACTTTAACTACCTAAATGATTTTGCTGCATGCACTAGGCAGGACAAGTGAACAGACCTTATCCATGACACTGCTCATCATGTACGATGTTTATCTGTATGGCACATGACGACGATGATGATGATATTTCTAGGGAGAGGAAGTCACTGTGTAAATAATTTATTTAAAAGGGGGTGGTGGGCCAAAAAGAGTTTAGTATGCATTATTCTAGATTATACTGTAATGTAATTAGTTTTTAGATGTGGTGTGAGATTGTCTCCATTGAGATAAGACAGGAAAATGTCTGCATCAGTAAAAGGTGAGGAATTGTCTTCTTCAAGATAACATGTGAGGTTTTCTCCATCAGTGTAAAGTGTGGGAGTGACTCCATCAGTGTAAAGTGTGGGAGTGTCTCCATTAGTGTAAAGTGTGGGAATGTCTCCATCAGTGTAAAGTGTGGGAGTGTCTCCATCAGTGTAAAGTGTGGGAGTGTCTCCATCATGATAAATTGAGAATGTCTCCATCAGTGTAAAGTGTGGGAATGTCTCCATCAGTGTAAAGTGTGGGAGTGTCTCCATCAGTGTAAAGTGTGGGAGTGTCTCCATCATGATAAATTGAGAATGTCTCCATCAGTGTAAAGTGTGGGAATGTCTCCATCATTGTAAAGTGTGGGAGTGTCTCCATCATTGTAAAGTGTGGGAATGTCTCCATCATGATAAATTGAGAATGTCTCCATCAGTGTAAAGTGTGGGAGTGTCTCCATCAGTGTAAAGTGTGGGAGTGTCTCCTTCATGATACATTGAGAATGTCTCCATCAAGATAAAGTATGAGTAAAGTGTGAGTGTCTCCTTCAGAATAACGTGTCAGTTTTCCACTAAGGTGTGAAAGTGTCTTCATCAGTATAAGTAATCATAGTTTCTCCACTAAGATAAGGTGTGAGAGTGTCTTCATCAGTATAAGTAATCATAGTTTCTCCACTAAGATAAGGTGTGAGAGTGTTTTCATCAGTAAATGGTTGGATTTCCACAAATCTTTCCAATCATCATAACACAGTTGTGTTTCTTACTTATCATTATACGCCCATAAAATGTTGACTGTCTCTTCCTGATGTTTGTGATATTTTAGGGGTCTTAGTTAACACTATATATGCTAATTATAACTCTGAGGGTCAAACAGGATATTTAAAAAAATTTTTTTACTAACACATACATTTATTGTTAAATAAAAGCTTAACTAGTGATCATATAATATTTGCAGAAATCACGCAGATCATCCAGAACCCGCAGAACACTATCAAGGTAAAGAAAATACTTTTTGTTTGTGGATAGATTCATGTCTTAAAATTTGACTTTTTCAAAACCATAACCATGTTAACTCCAAACAGTATAATGTGTCTTGACCTTAACCCTGTGAATCCCAAGGGTTAAGTAAAGTCCTTTTACTTGTTACATGTCGGCAGAGAAATATAGTTTTCCCCAGTGGTTATTTTAACTATGTATTTAACCAATGTGATGTTTAAAATATTTTTTTAATTTGCCTGTTTTATACTTTTAATAATTCACAATGATTGTTTTCTTTTAAGAAATCTCTGCATCCACTCTTGGACTGAATGAGTTAATTGACTAATTAATATCATTTATTCAAATACAGTGTCAGTTAAAAAGGATGCTGTCATTGATAGGACACTCGTTGAGACAGTTTTAAAACAATGTAAATAGAATGTCCTTGTACTGGAACCCACAGGATCAAACGATTAAAGGCAACCCCCACCCCTACCCCCCCTCCCCCAAAAAAAAACTACATAGAGAAGGGAACTAGAGAGCGGAGTTAAAAGATGGGAAGAACATGGGGTGAGCTGCCTGTGATGGCAAAGAATAGGATGAATTGGCTGAGGGCCTGTGCTTCAGTGGCGGCAAAAGGGCCCAGAAAGAGAAGTGTCAGTTGGCACAGATTTTTGTCTACAACCTATGATTTATAGCAAAAAACTTTTTTTTGGGGGGGGGGGGGGGGGGGTGGCATCATTTTATAAGTAAAGGTAAGTAACTGATGTTGGCATCCATGGCTTAGTGTTGCTAATGGGCTTCATAATTCCAGGATACCAGCGTCGATCACAGCTGCAAGCGATTTGGTAGCAGCATACAAAATTAAAGGTCTGGGTCGACATGGGAGCCATTGTCAATGTTGTAACAATACAGTTGTCAACTCTGTAGAGATTGTTCCATGACTGAACTAGTATGATGAATAACTTATATCTTTTTCCCATTTAAATTATTGTAAATAATTTTAAATCGCTCCAGACTCTAAAGTCAAAAACAAAATGTTTTTCTTTTGAGGGGGGGGGGGGGGGGTTTAAAAGATAGGAAACATGTGTGGCCCTGCATTTTTTGTGTGTGGAAATAAGGGTTACTTCTGACCATGATGCTACAGTCCATCATCATCAAGAGCCTTGTCAACTGGCCCAAGTCTTCCTTCAGCAATGTTATGTGACCTAATCCATTAAAAAATTATCAAGATGCTGTCGGATAATATCAGAAGTTCACATCTCTCTAGCTCGCATCCTGGATCTTGTCTTGTATTAAAGGCAAAAAAAAAATTGGTGAGCCTGACCTTGTACCCTGAAAAGCTCATGTCCAGATCCACTTGTGTCCTGAGGTTTGACTATGTTTTCACAAATCCTGTGGTTTCTGTGAGAGGAGATAACCTGTTTCACACCAAACTCCTTACTAACCTTTTATGACATGCATAGCAAATTATAATGTTACTGTTCTTTGCTTCCATTTTTGGCTCTGATAAAGTTAGGCTGTAATGCAGTTTGCTTTGATAAGTAAAAAGTAAAGTAATTATCCCTTTCCACGCCTTTAGGCGTATCGGGCATATGGGAAGAGCGCCCATATTTTTACATACCATCAGCACTCGGTGGGTAATGTGGTCAGCATTACGCCAGTTTGCTTTGATAGCAGTAAATTATTGTGTCATCATTTGTGAATTGTTTAATGTGCATTTGTAAAACTCTCATCTTTTTGGGTTTCAGAATTAGCAGGAGGGGGGCTGAATATTTGCTTTTAAAAATAAAATGTTCAGAAGAGAAGAAAAAAGAGAAGAATGTATTTGAAAATACCCATCTTTTTACAGGTGTTGAATTAATCATCTTTATTGTATGATATTAAGTCCATTTATTTATTCTTTGATCAAAAATCTGACTTCTTTTTTGTAATTTAGTAGAGAATTTCACAGTTTTAAATGTTGAAAAACAAAAAAATAGAAGAAAAAAGTAAATTACAAAAAAAAAAAAAAAAATCCACACAGCAGCAAAATTCATTAATACTGTACTATTTCTGGTGTCTGCTGAAATATTATGAAAACATGTAAAACCAAACAAAACGTAAACTAGCGAGCTTCATAGTATATCAGTCCCAAACGGAAAGTGATACTGCAATATTATTTCAGAGCTAGTTTGTAAGGCCTTGTGCTTAAACAGTCATCACACTGTGTTGTTTAACCAGTGTGAATCCTCTGGAACAGTGTTTCCAATTTGGTAGTCCAAGGTTGTGTGACATCATTTAGACCACACACACAAAAACTTAACTTTAGAATGCAATCCTCTTTGCGATTGTAGTATTTATAAATGACTATTAAAAAGAAATATCTAGAAGTTGATACATTTGCGTTTCATGGTGAAATATTGTAAACAATCTATTCTTGTTAGCCACCAAGAGTACATTAAACAAGCACAAATGTGACACAACCAAGGCATCACATTTTATGTTGAGACATAAGTTAAGGCTTTCCTCACTCCTAGTTTTAGCAACCTTTGTGGATTAGGCAAAGAAAACACGTCCACATGGCCTAATCACTAGACAACGAAACAATCATTCATAATTTATCTAACATGTACTTGAAATTGTCTTTAATTAGGTCTGCTGACATGATGTAGGTATGCATTTTTCTAATGTATTACATCTAGTTTGCCTTAACATTATTACTGTTATATTTCATGTTAAGAGTTATTTGTAAAATGTTATTAATTTATTGACAAAATGACTGCTTGCTTTTGTGTTCTATTTTAAAAACAATTCATCATGCCAAGTTACCTTTTGTTGTTGTCACCATTTCAGATGATAGTGTTATATTGTGCTTTAGGAAGGCTTAGAAACTACAGACCATGACAATGGCAAGTGTGACTGACAGGATCCACTCATGTAGAGATTAGTTTGCTCAATTAGAGTGTGAAATTTCAGGATCAGTGTTGACATTGTATATTATTTAATGTGCTTGTTCTCAGACACTCAGCCCTGAACCTATCTGCTGTCATTTTTTCCATTATCCTTATTCCCTTCCTTATTTTGCTGCACAGGGAAACTCTAAGTGAGCCCTGAACCTATCTGCTGTAATTGTTTTCCATTATCCCTATTCCCTTCCTTATTTTGCTGCATAGGGCAACTCTAAGTGAGCCCTGAACCTATCTGCTGTCATTTTTTTCCATTATCCCTATTCCCTTCCTTATTTTGCTGCACAGGGTAACTCTAAGTGAGCCCTGAACCTATCTGCTGTCATTTTTTTCCATTATCCCTATTCCCTTCCTTATTTTGCTGCACAGGGCAACACGTATTCTGGCATCCTGTCTCCACAAGTTCATCAGAATCCCTGTATCTTTGCACACAACGTGATATCATAGTAGAAGCTGATGCTGACCTCGACATCTTCTACCTGTCTGTATTTCATTACAGCAGATGTCCTTTATTACTTTCGCATGTTTCTTTAGTGTGTGCATATTTATGGATTGTGCTGGGACTTATTGTTTGTTCAACAGTTTTTCAAATGAAACAGTGAGGGACCTTTCATTTGATTTTCACTACAACAGGAATGGAGCAATTATGGGGTGGCTCGATTGCAATGAAGCTGAAACCTCGACTAAGACTAATTTATTTAGCTGAACTAGTTTTGAAAGATGGTTTTATACATTTGATATACATTAACAAATGCTCAAATAAATATTAACATAGTTTTTAAGTTTTCATGTTGTATACAGCACTCCCTGTATGGATTCCAGAATCCCATGTTGGGGAAAACAAGAATAGATTCACTGCCTTTCCAACAAGCATGTCATAAGAGTTGACCAACTGGGGGCTTCCTTCAAAGTCGGAGTCTATCTGCCTGAGAGGCTAAAAACCAACAGTCTGCATGCAAATAAGCCAGATCTGTAAAACAGATGTGCGCAAAACACTCAGATTCTGGAACACAACTAAGTCCAGAGGTGGACAATCAGAACTTTCTGCCAGAGTCCACAGCCAGAGAACTTGAAGAAGAAGAAGTATACAACACCACAAAACACAACTTATTTATGCTTCCCATGTGTCCAACTCTACAAAAATTGTTTTGTCTTGTCTGCCTAATCAATAATTTTGTCATCTTCTTCATCTGCCTTTTATATTCCAGTTGAACAGAGGTCTTCAGGATTGTTTTACTCAACCCTTCTATTGTTTGTTATCTCATTTGACTCCTTCTATGTCCTCCCCATATTATTAACTGATGCCTATAATTGATAATTTCCTTGTTTTCCAGTTCTATTTTTGTGTGTTGAAAACTTAACATTATTTCATCTCTGCAGGCAGGATGAATTGAACGACAGTGATTCGCAATGTTTGCAGCCACATAGAAAACGAAAGCTGGGGGCCAAGCTTAGTGCCGAGGACAATTGTCCTCCTCACTACTGCATGCCCACTGTTACCTCTCTCTCTCGTTCTAGGTCTCCCTCGCCAACAGTCCGACGCAAGCTTGCTGACATCAGCCTTGATGATACCATTGATCCTAGACCACCATTTGTCGTACGAAAGGTTCAGAACATTTCTTGATTTATTTAGTTAAAACTTACACATCTGCTGCCTGCTCACAGGTGTTATTTACAGTTGCAAATAAATGGTACTAATCACGGAATTCACCCCATCTCACTCGGGTGTGAGATTTCATGACCAATCCCACGGGATTGTTCTAAAAGTGTTATGAGATCCCTTCCTTCCTGGTTTATTAAAACCGTGGCGAAATTGGCTTGCATTCGTTCGATGTGGTCGACACACTCTCACCTATACGAAACTGTGCAGCGTGAGTGTCAAATCATTGATGATTATATGTTTATATGCTCCTTGGCGGTGGCTGTCTTTAATGATGGATGTGCTTAAAACTTTCAAAACAAGCAACACCTGACACCTTCAGAACCTAGGACAGCCCATGCATATGAATACGAAATTACACAGCCAAGCGAGATGGGATGAATTCCCTGATAAGTACCAAATAAATATATTTCATATATACACTGTATTATGTTATTTCAGTTTTAACATATGTCAATGAAAGGTGGAGAACTATTAACAATGTGAAACAAAAGTTAAATGTATTTGAAAACAATTTCCTAAGGAATTTTTTTTACATAAAATTGCATGAGTTCAGAAGCGGTGAAAAATAAGAAAAATGTCTGGGCAACCACTGGTAACACCACTTATCAGACAGAGAATATATTCATATATATAGAAAAAATTTTGGACACATCCTTAGAAGAAACAAGCAGAGAACCACTAAACAGGCACTAAAATGTGAAATAAAGGGATTGAGGAAGCAAGGACATCTTTTCTGTTTGCATCTAACTAGACAAAAAATGCAGACAAGAAAGTCCATCCAATCGCTGTTGAGACAGAAGTGCAGACGTTTATTTTCGAGAATTCTCTACAGGGGGATGCTGTCATTTACACAGATGGGTCTGTAATTCCTCATGTGAGAAGCTCGAAGGCTTTTACGGCTCAGGTTGGATTTAGAATTGTGAAGCAAGATTCTGGTGCTGTTGCCTTGACCACAAATAGTCTGACTAAGGGGGTCATAGCAGTGGCCAAAGTAATAACATGGATGGAGACGCAGACCTTTTCCAGCGCATTCTTTCTCAGTGACTCAATGAGTATGCTTAGTAAGATAGAGAAGGGCTGGGTCCGAAGACAGTGGTTGGAGTGTCTAGAGTGGTCGGTGCTGACACAAGAAAAAAGTTTAATATTTGTGCCAGGGCACGCAGGCGTGCAAGGTAATGAGCAAGCTGACACTCTTGTCGGTAAAGTTACTGTGGAGGCGGACGAGCCGTGGACCATGCTGATATTCTGAATGTTCTACGAGAAGTGAGATGTTTGCAAGAACCAAGGGATGACTGTGAATCTCCAACCATGACCAGACTGCAAAAAAAAGGGGTGTGGCCAGACAAGAGCACTATGCAGGAATTCAAGTAAGAATAAGAAACCAACACAGAACTGGTGTGGAGAGCCGCTACATGCTGCTACTAAGGAGGGGATCCGAGCATTTATGGACTGAATGGTTAGATATGCGATGAGGATAATCTGTCAAATAATTGAGTAACTAACTAACCTCCTTCTGTGAGTTTGAGCCACTATAGTGTAGCGGCTAGACACTTGCCTGCAGATTGGAAAGTTCTGGGTTCTGGTCCTGACAGAGTTGGACTCTTTTTTTTAAATGACCTTGTCTCTCAGGTCAACCCAGCCTTGAGTGGATACAGGCACAATCATGGGAAGTAAAGGTGGTGGGCATGATGTTGACCATATCACCCAGCCAGTGCCGATTAGTCTGTAAAATATAGGTCTAGCCCTATATGCCCAATATGCCTTAGGATATGGACAAGATTCCCTTACTTAACTTACTTCTCTGAGCGGAAGACCTGGTTGGATAGCAGCTAAACGTTTGTCTGCCAGCCTGAAGGTCTTGGGTCCAAATCTGCATTGAGACAGATTTTTTTTTTGGTCAACTCATTTGGGTGCCAGGTTATGTTGTGGGAAATCAAGATGGCCAGCATTATGTTGACATCACCCATCAAGGGCTGTTCGGTCTATTTAACGAAATATGGGTCTAGAATTATATGCCTGATGTGTCTTTGATGAAAAAGGATCCATTACTTACTTTTATGAGCACCAGTCAGTATCCATGAATTTATTTCTCATGGTGAAACCTAACAATACTGAACACTGCACAGATGTTGAAGGGTAATTACGCTAATAGTTTTAATTTAAAAAACTCAACTCTGGTTTTTTAAAATTGTTATTGTTCATTTAGATTGAACTTCCACTAACTATTCAAGCAGTTATAATCTTCATATAAATTATTCCTTCCCCTAACTACCAAAAAGTCCCGTCAGCAGGCTACATTTAAAAAAAAAATGAAAATGGTAAAAATTTCAAGGGTAAACTAAACAACAAAAGATGGTGCAACAAAGGCAGCAGTATATATGGCCTTGATGATAAATGTTGATTAGAACAAGAAACAGCAATCACTTATGCTTTACTTTGTATATTTATTCCTTTCCTATCTAACTTTTGCTTGCATCTTTTCAAGCCTCTGCTCTACAAACATTTACTGCATTCAGTTTTGTACAAAGTTTCTGTGGCAAAGTGGTCAAGCCATTTGACTCAGGCTCTGACGGTTGTGGGTTCGTTTTGGGGCTGTATTGTTTATTTCATGAGAGCAATTTTTATGGAGTCTCTGGCGATTACCACTGGAGCTACGGTATTCATGCTTGTTGTGATGCTTTTGCCAGGCGGCTATCTTTCTGCAGAGAGAAACTGAGCCATATGGGAAAGAACCCAGTGCAATGAAGTCGATCTTCTTGACTTCAACCTTTCAACTTAAAATGCTACTGCTTATTTTTGGAATTATTCTTCTTTTCAAATATAATCTCTGTGAAACATATTTTTGTTTTCTGATTTGTTGGTAACTTAGGAAAATAAGTCTTGGAATTGTTCTCATGGCGCGGAGGTAACTGATGCACAGCACAATATTTTTGTTTGCAGTTTTTTATATTGAGTTTGGTTTGTGTTTTACTGTTGAAACAGAATTTACAAGAGATATTTGTTGTTTTTGTCAGTTGCATATATTCAAATCCCTGTTAAAATTGATTTTTAAAACTAACCTGAGATCTCTTTTTCTCCTCACCTAAAAATGGGTACTAGAAAATATTCTTTGAAATAAAGGTGGCCACTGCTACTGCCCTACATAACCCATCAAGCACTGACTTATCTATACACATTTGGGGCAAGCAACATATACACAGTACACCTCAAAGCATGCATGCATTCTTTACTTTTTTCTTTTTTTATCAAATATGTGAAAATAAGCTGTTTGTCAGTTACCCAGGGCTGTTGGCTTTTTTTCTGGGCAGAAAAAAAGATGCCAACATTCACCACAAACTTTTTAAAAAGGTGCTGGTACCACAAAGTTACAGAAGCACTAAAATGTGATTCTCCCCCCCCCCCCCCCCTCCAATACACACTGATACTGTGTACTGTTGCATACTGGCGGGAAAAACCCCCGCTGTAATTGCCACATAATTTAATTTATTCTGAAGTTTACTGTGTATTTGTTGGATTGTTTTTCAAACATTAATAACAATAGAGTTGATGGTTTAGAAATGTAGCTGTTTCGATAATTGGAGGAATAGAATTGAGAGAACCAACCTCATCATTGTTTGGCTGTTTTTGTGATTTTATTCAGGAATTTTTACATACAGTAGTTCTCCATGCTTTCCAAAGGATTTTGATACCATTGTCAAAATTAATGCAAAACAGTCAGCTGCCAGATTGTCCACCCCTGGAATCCAAGTGGGTATATCATAATTACGAACCACATTCACGATACCTAAGCCACAGACCTGGACACGAGAGATGTATAGATAGATAATGTTTAATTAAAAATTAACATCACTTCACTCGGGACATCCCCATATGCTCTCCATTCCCATCTCAGCAGCAGGCCTAGAGTTCCAGTGGTACCAACAGCAGTCTGTCTGTATATTTGTATATCTGTCTCACCTTTCCCTTGAGTGCCGATCATTGACCAGATCCCATGGTCACTCCTCACAGTGCCATTCTCTTTAGACCATGATGATCCATCTGTGCTTCCACATTATTCTTTTGCCCCTCCCCTAAAGGGCCCTTACAACATCTAGCTTGTCATGCATCAGTTTACCCCCAAGTTATGCAGAACCAGCCAGTCTATCTGCCTGTTCCTTTCTTAATGCACCAGCATTTCCTGGGGAAAAAATATCCAAAAGACACTAACTATCTGGGACTTGTGAAGCAATGCTTGCCATTCTTCACGGAGCATACCGGTCTCCACCTTTCTCAACATGCTGTGTGAGTCGATTACCACTACGACTTGTGTGTACAACTGATTATCAAACCAGTGAAAGGCTGCAGTGATTGCCACCACCTCAATTCACAAACTAGATGTTGTGGTGTCATATGCCAAGCTTTGTTGCACTAAGCGACGTCCATTCACTTTTGCTAAGAACCCCCATGAGCTTTATCTACCTCTCAACACAGAGCCATTTGTATAGATATATAAAATATAGTATTCACCTGGGCGCGAATTGTCATGAATCATTTGTTGAACTTCTGATTCTGCAGAACCCGCTGGTCAGTCTCTGCACTCACAGCTCAGTATGATCAGAACCCTACACATGTCTGACTTTTGCTGGGACATTTCGACCCACTCCTCTCCTCACCCAATGTTATCAAGCCTACACACATGTCTAATTGTGTCTTCGGCTTGCGCCATCCAAGTCCTTCCTCTTTCAGTCTGTGACCCTTAGCTGTGTCTGTCTAGCGCTTCATGCAGGAGGTTTTTCTTATCTGCAGCTACTCTAAGATTTGGCTTAGCTTGCATCGCTTTGAGTCTATCTCACTTAATAGTCAGCAGTGCAAGTATGCATCACATACATACTTTTACAACCCAGAATTACCCTCATCGTTTCATTCTGTATGCTTTTAAGTTTCATCAGCTGACACATTGCTATGGTTAGTATTCCAAGTCCATAATCTTTTACTGACAGGGTCGAATGCTGGAACATTGTAAATAACATTCTTTGTTCCATGTCTATTGCTGCCATAATAATAGCATTGAGTTCTTTTTGGCATTTTGTAGAAACTGCTTCCACATAATCCCTGAAGGACAAACTTCTATCGAGAATGATACCCAGTCACTTCTGTATGCTTTTCTTTTTTATGCTTCTATCATTAATTGTGAGACCTGCAACATCAGCTTTTACAATTAAATTGTCTAGAGAACACCATAAAACTGCTGCCTTCTGGGTTGATGATAGCACCCATTTTTGCACACCAGCCAGTGACTTTGTTTACAGTTGCCTGAGTTCTTGGGCTGTCTGCTGCCTGTTGCTCCCTTGTCTATATAAAAGAACATCATCTGCAAATGTCAGTTTCCTTCCAACCCCTGGTGCTTCAGGTTCTGCAGTCTTGCTTTTATACACATTTAAAAGCACTGGTGAAGTTGCAGAACTCTTGAGTTAATCCCGAGGCAATATTGCTTGCTTCTAAGGTCCATGTACCCAGGCAGAGAGCAACTTTACATGAATGCAGGACAGCTGCTATCCAATTCACCAGCCATGGACTCACCCCCTTCTTTATGAGTGCAAATATCAAAATATCATATCTGACTCTGTTGTAGGCATCCTTAAGATAACCGTCTCCTACCTATTCTGGAACCCCTCATAAATATCAAATCCAAATGTGGTCACATTTGACCAGGTATCTTTCCTTAGCTAGTAACTGCCCAGACTTCTTGACAAGAGCTCTTTCATTTCTTTAAAAAAAAAAAAAAAAAAATGGGCCTGTAGTATAGCAGCAGTAATCATCTCAAGCAGATTGCCAAAAGTATTTTGAATAGTGATAATCCTGAAACCACTGAGGTTTTGGAAGAGATATTTAAAAGCTGTGCACCAAATCCTAGGGTACTGATGCTGTTCTGATGCCATCTCCCTCAAGTCTTCATCACTCATGTCCTTCATGCGGCACAGTGTCTTTTGCTTTCTGCAAGATATCATCCACACAAATAATCTCATTTCAAGCCCTCCTATCAGGTTAAATTTTCTGCAGCTTCATTCATGTTCTCCGTATATCATTTATGTCTGTCTCTCTTCTCATATCCTCTAGGCCTCTCTTTTTCATAATATTCCTTAAATGCCTGCTAACATTTTTTTTAAATTGAGTCCCTGCTTCAAATTTCTTTAATGCATGTTTCATATTATTTCTTTAACACCTGTTTCATATTATTTCTTTAACAACTGTACCATATTATAAATTTTAAAACTTTTTTATATTATTCTGTTAGAAATAGAGCTTCTTGTTATTGTGACTAGCTCAATTATTGTTTTTCATTTTTCTTTTCTGAAGACTTCTTTGTGGTTGACCCACGAGTTAAAGACTGGGATAGCAATACCATGATGCAATGCTACCTTGTTGTCTGTAACATTAAGATGCCTGTTCTTTCTTTTGCAGTTTCAAATTTTGAAGTTGATCAAAAAATAGTCTTTTGTATATTACTTGGACATTAATCGATATGATAAAAAAGTTAATTTTTGGTGCATGCAAACATTTTTTCAGCCTTGGATTCACTAAATTCTTCAACATCAGCTACCAAACCCAGATATCACCTGACTAAGGTAAAGCCTTATGTATCTGTAATTATTATAATTTGAAATTGTTATGATTATTTTACTTGGACCTAATTTATAAGTTTACTGCAAATATCACATTTACTGTAAGATGTGATTCATTTACTCTTTTGTCTTAAATCTTTTAATAATAAACAATTTTCTTGGATAATTTATATTTTTTTCCTGGCAGTCAGTTTATTGCAATTAAAATTATGTGGCCAATACATTGAACAGTTATTTTTTCTTCATCTTGGCGTTAACCAGCTGAAAACTCTGATGAATTGTTCTGGCTGTTCGTCCACTTCTGGACTCTAGTTTTGTACAAGAACCTGAGTGCTGTATCCACATCCGTTATGCAGCTTTGACTTATGTGGTTACAGACTGTTGTCTCCTTGCTTCTCAGGTTGATACACTCTGACTTTGAAGGAAGACCCCAATTAATGGACTTTCACAACATGCTCTTTGGGGAAAAGGGGGAGGGGGGCGAGTGGGTCCATTCTTGTTTTCTCCAAAATAGGGCCCTGAAACCCACATGGGGACAACATACAGGTTATTTCTGTGTATTTTATTTAGTAGAAAAAAGAAATTAATAATCTGTTTAAACCACCACTAATTACTGGCATCATTAGGACTAATAGACTGTGATGCTTAAGCATAAAGAGAGAATTGCAGATAACAGAGAGACAAAAACTGCATTTGCAAAAGAGTTGAATGAGAGTAGACCACAAGGGAGACATAGAAGATTGTTGAGAGACCAATAAACATTTGGAATCACCAACTGGACAGAAAAGGGCAAACAGAAAGATGAATGGATGGCGGAAGATATCTGCAGCAATGAAATTCATGGGCTCAGAATGATGAAGAAGAAAAAGAAGAATTTCGTTTTGTAAGCTTTATTAAATGTTAGTGAAAGTCTGTAGTAATGCACCTGGTGGGATGCTTCAAAATATGCGAGGCAATAAATTGTGCAATTTATTGTTTGAGTCCACATTATTGAAATTCACAACAGGAAACATTGTTTTGAATATTGTAATTTGTCTATTACAGTATCTTCTCCTAACTGAGTTATGAAATAGTGATATCATTTAGTGTCTGCCTATTGTTTAGTATGTGTGGTGCAGGGATGGATGGACTGTGTACTGGCAGGAAGTTTTCTTTAAGTGCATGTATGGGGTATTGCTTGTGGTAATACATTTTAGCCTGGCACATAATGACAAATAAATGAAGCAGCAAGAAATTACATTGCATGCAGTAATGGTTGAAAGGGAAGCAGTGTTCTTAGCTTAGCTTAACTATCCTGAGAGAGAGAGAGAGAGAGAAAGAGAGAGAGAAAGAGAGAGAGAGGGTCGAAGGGGGTAAGATTATGATGTTCTACATATTTAAAAAAGAACTTAATGAGCAATACTATTGTGACATGCTGGTGTGTATAAACCTGGGGAATGGGAAGGAAAGAGATTACTGTGTTTTTTTTCCAGATGGTCACAATCTAGACTCATTAATTGTGTTACCTCTCCAGGTTATCAGGAAGCCATACGAAGAACCACTTCCTGTGTTTAAATCACAATATTCTCCCACTTATGACAGTGATATTGGTTAGTACTGTTTATATATCTAAATAAAAATAACAATATGATAATTAGCAGTGCTTCTTCTTCTTCTCCTCCTCTTCATCCTTCTCATCCTTCTCCTTCTTCTTTAAAATTTCTGTTTACACTAGTGGCCCATCAGGCGTGTGATGTCAGGCTCATATTTTTGTATACCAGTTGGCTCCTGATGGGTGATGTGGTCACCATCTTGCTGGCCACTTTTGCTTCTAGGACATTACCTGGTACCAGTTTTAGGTTGATCAACCTGGGAACGAAGATCAGTTATTTTTTAAAAGAAAAATTATTTGGCGCAGATTCAAACCTAAAACCTTCAAGCTGGCAGATGAGTGTTTAGTCACAATCCTACCTTGAATATCACAGTAAATCAAAAAAAGTAAAATATTTTGGAATCCCTGTTTGGGTTCTGGGGCCCCATATGGAGACTAGAAGGGAATAGACCCACTGCCATCCCTAACAAGCATCTCGTAAAAGGCGAGGAGCTAACAGTCTACATACGAGTAAGCCAGATCTGTAAAACGGATGTGCGTGCTGAATTCAAGTTCTGGAACAAGCCTAAAATCTAGAATTGGACAAGCTGCCAGAACCTTCCTGTCGATAATGCTAAGAAGAAAAGACAAAATGTTCTGGGAAATAAAGGTGCCCGAGTATTATTTATTATTATTACACCCATTTAGTATCATTCAGTTTATAAAAATGTGTTGGCTAGTACTAAATACGAGTTCACCCCAAAGTGTGGAAATTTACTATTAAATAAATGTCCAGTGTCGGCTCTGAGGCTAAGTCGATGGGAACGCTTCGCAATGCCGGGATGCCGGGTTCGATCCCAGCTGCGGGCCATGTGCCTTGAGTTGGTTTCAACAGTGGTATCAAGAAAGCTGACCGTCCAGAAAGCAGTGGCAAACTACTGGACATAAATTTGCCTAGAAATTTGCCAGGGGCTGTTGGGGTTGGTTCTGCAACGTCCTGTAAATGATACGCAACTAACCTATATTCAGTATGTTTCAAGGCATGGAGAAATACTTTGGCTTACTGTGAGGAAGAAATGCAATGTTGCAGCATCCGGTTATGTGGGAACAGTCTCAAATCCTGCAATTCTAGAGTTTCACAGCAGATACCAAAGATGTTAAATAGCTGCAAAAAAATTTGTGTACTACTTTAAAGAAGCTAAGCACACGGTAAAACTGACCACAAGTGAGGCCAGATTTCTTTAATTTACTCTGACCAAATGTAAAAAAGTATAAGAAAACATTGTTAATTGACATTATCTTTTACTCAATATCACGAGCATGTGCTATACAGTTATATTGTTTGAATGTAGATCAAGAAGTCGAAGAACTAACCTCAACGAAGCCAACCTTTATCTCACCTCGCCCTCGCTCTGTGAGCCCTTTCTTGTATCGAAGCAGCTTCAGGGACCGCTATGGTGATTCCCTGTACAGTCTACCTTATTCGTCAAGTTACTACGATAGTCTATATGAAAGGGTTTGTATGCACATTTTTCAGTGCAGTTATTTTACTCCATGTAATATTAACCTTTTTCTCTTTCTTTTTTGGTTATTCACATGACACCCTGGTGGGGATTGGTGGAATACTTTACCCTTTGTTGTTGTTGTGTAGTTCTTGTTGAGAATGGCTCTGGCCGAAACGTTGGTTTTGCCTTTTTTGTGCATGTAATTCCCCTTCTCCCTTTCATTAAGCTTGTTAGTCTCATTAAATTGGGTTAATTTCTTGGTAGTAGTTTGACTGCAGTCACCCCTGTTTTCGCCATGCAATAATGGTTTATTGACAACAACTGTGACTGGGAGGTTGTGAATTCAGTTTCACAATCCTGACATGATGAGGTTCAAAGTCATCTGCAGGAGTTTTGGTAACAGACTGCTTTACATTAATTTTGAAAACAGTAGGAGTGCCCTACCATTTGGGGAGCAGTGACAAACTACTGAAGTGAAACTGCCTAGCAAAACCAGACAACAAACAATAAATGCTAGAGTAGTTTGTGAAGTCCTAAAAAAAGATATGCAACTAACTTTTTATAACGCATCATATTCATTGCACAAAAATATATATAAATGCCCAGGTTGACTCTCATAGACCACACAAAGAGGGGAGGGGGGCATTGAACTATTCTTTCCCCTCCCCTTAAATAGGGCCTCGAAACCCACAGGGAGCATTATATATCATTTAAATATTTAGTCAACATAAAGACATAGCTGGCGATGCATACGTTTAAATATACAAACATTCATGCACACATAACTGCACACCTACATACATACCATACCATGACACAAACAATGTCTGCTTGCCCCTGAGGGGGACATAACTTCTGAGATACTTCACCCCCACTGAGGTTTGAAGTCTCTACTTACTGTTTTGGTGTAAAATAGTAAGATTAACATGCAATAATTTTCATTTTGTTTGTTTAATTTTACTTCCAACCCCCCCATTTGTGACAGAGAATCTGCAAGAAAGAGGTGGGTTTCTTGGTTATGTGCTGATCAGTCTGACCTTTTGAAAGATAGTTAGTTGATAGAAGCAGTATATTTAAGCAAAAGTAATTATATGTATCAGTACAATAAGACTGCTACTGATGATTGAGTTCCTGACAGTGGTACATGGGGAAGTCAGTAAATAAATTACAAACTGATATTTAAAAAAAACATAAATAAAGGATCCTTTTTCCATGCCTTCAAGTGTATAAAGCTAAACCTGTATTCTATAGACCAATCTGCACTTGGTGGGTAATGTGGTCAACATCACGCCGGCCTCCTTTACTTCCCCCAGGACTGCACAATGTATCCACTCAAGGCTGCATCGACCTGAGAGCCAAGATCATTTTTGAAGAAAGCCTGGTTTCATAGGAAAACTTAAAAAAAAAAAAAAGGGGGGGGGGGGGGGTTGTCTTTGAGCCTGAGGATTTAAGGCTGCATGTCTAGTGCAGTTGCCATGGTCCAACCAGGTTAGGATTTAAATTCTCCCCCGACAGAAAAAAAACCATAAACTTTCGAAGGATTCGAACCTGAGTCTCCCACATGAGAGCCCGAGTCCTTAACCATTTATGTTCACTATTTCTTCCTCAGGAACTTGACAGAGCCAGAGCTCGTCGGCTTGCTCGCTTGTATAGCAGTTACTACAATTCTTTAGATGATCTTGATTTAGAACTACGGCTAGCTAGAATTCGTGCTGCAAGAATCTAATAGCAAATCTTTCTGTCAGGTCAGTTTACTTTTCTTAGGTAAAAACTGCAAAAATGGGACAAATTATATAGCTTATAGGATGTCTCCACATTATTTGCCTTGAACTTAGAATATGTGACACAAAGCATCAACATGAAAGATAATATTAAATCACCTACAGAATGTTTAGCGGGAACACAACTGAGAAAATACATAATATAGTATGAACAATCCTGATGTGTTTGCTCACGAAATAAAGCTTGGTTTTATTAATGAAATTGAAAATGTAGTTCACTAAGAGTCAAATAAATAAATGAAGCAATATTAAAAAAACACACACAGAGAAGAGAATTAGGTTAAAAGGTTAGTTGCGTATCCTTTACAGGACGTTGTAGAACCAACCCCAACAGCCCCTGGCTGTTGTGTGGTTTCTCTAGGCAAATTTATGTCCAGTAGTTTGCCATTGCTTTCTGGATGGTCAGCTTTCTTGACTCCACTGTCGAAACCAACGCAAGGCGCATGGCCCGCAGCTGGGATCGAACCCGGCATCTCTGCATTATGAAGCGTTCGCATCGACTTAGCCACAGCGCCAACTAGAGAATTAGAGTGATGTTAAAAAGATGTGGAGGACATGGGGTGACTTTTATGCAGTAGCAAAGGATAGGACAACAGCATGAATTGGTTAAGGGCCTTTGCTCCATTGGAGAATAAAGGGCAGAAAAAGTTCACTAACTGTCAGTGATTCTTTTTATTTACAGCAAACAAAATACTATACAAAACTTAAATAAATAGAAGGTCGCTTTTCCACGTCTTTAGGCTTATTGGAAATATAGGGCTAGACCTATATTTTATAGATTAAACGGCACTTGGTGGTTGATGTGGTCAGCATCACGCCGGCCACTTTTACTTTCCAGGACTGCACCTCATACCCACTCAAGGCTGGGTTGACCTAAGAGTCAAAGTCATAAAAAAAAAAAAAGTCCAGCTCCATCAGAATGCTGGTGAACTGGATAGCAGCTGTCCTGCATTCACGTATGGTTGCCCTTCACCTGGGTACATGGATCTCAGAACCATGAAACATAGCCCTGGGACTACCCCAGGGTTCTGCAATTTCACTGATGCTCTTTAATGTGTATACAAGTAAGATTGCAGAACTTGAAGCACCAGGTTTTGAAAGGATATTGACATTTGCTGATGATGTTCTTGCATATAGGCAAGGGAGTGGCAGACTACGGATAGCCCAAGAGCTGCAGGCAACTGTAGACAAAGTGACTGGATTGCCCATTGGCTTGCCAGTAGGCAACTGCAAGAGTCCTTTTCAGGGCTCTTCGTGGTGTGCAAAGCCGGTATTATAACCTAAAGCTCCCCCTTCGGGAATGCTGATAGAACATGACTTTTTTTTCCAGCAGAGCATTGGATTGGTTCCGGGTCCCTATTCTGAAAGGAGGAGAAAAACAAATTTAAAAAAAAAGCATGTCATACAAGGCGACTAATTAGAGGAGTTTCCTTCCAAGTTGGAGTTCATCTGCCTGAGAGGCGTGGAACCAACAGTTTGCATACAGGTAAATAAACCATATCTGTAAAATGGGTGTGCATGCAAAACTCTAGTTCTGAAACAGGACCAAAGTCCAGAAGTGGACAAACAACCAAAACTTTCTGCTGGAGTTTACAGAGGATTAACACTAAGAAGCAGAAGAAGAAGAAGATATATAGTCAGTGTATAAAATATCCCATAACTTACATATGTTGGTAGTAGAAAAGAAACTAATGCATCTACAGCCTTTTTTTACTTTGTTTTTCTTTCAGAATTGTGGATCAGTTCATATCATTTCAGCATGCTCTTAACAGCTGTGCAGACTGTTTCACTGCAGTATTTGAATTGTGTGAAATGAGAAACATAGAGATATAGAGTTACCTGGACTTTTGGGAAGCAGCAGTCTTTGAGTTGATTTCCACAAATTCTGATTTCAGCCATGAAAAAAATACACACTGCTTATGTACCTTGAGCACTGTAATCCAGTTAGTTACAACAAATATATTCACTATATACATTAATCATTTTGTGTAAATCATAGTATATTATAGTGTGCGTAAAGTATCTAATAGTTGCTGGATACGTTTTCATTATTGTTTGTGATGACTGCCAGCATAATCGTTTGTATGTAGTTACTTCTTCTGTGTTCCTCCATAATAAAGATGGTTGGCACGTTGTGTTGCTGTTTACAGCAAGGATGCGATATCATCCCCTTTTGACCCAGCACATCCAGTTTCAGCAAACCCTCATTAGTTATCTTGCATGGTGTGGTTGTTAGGAGGCAGGGGGTCTATTCTTGTTTCCTTCCAGAATGGAACCTCGAAACCCACACAGGAATACATAGTTACAATCGCTGTTCAACTCTTTTATCTCAGAAGATTTAATAGCAGATGGAGGACATCTTCTGCTGTATGTGAGTGCGTTTGTATGTGTTTGTAGTGTTAGTCACAGTGTCTCCACAGCCTTCTGTCTGTTGTACTGTCAGTTATTTCTGATACAGAGGTTCTTCCATGTCATGATGCCATACATTTCTCTTTTAGTCTTTCTCTGCCTCTCTTACTCTCCAGTTTTCTTGTTGTCACAACAGACTTCATTTATTTCATTCTCACTTGTTCAAAGAATGTGGATTGTCTTTTTCTGATGCAGATAATGTTCTTTTCGTGAGAATGTCTTTTCTTCTTTCTTCATTTTCTTTGTGTTCACCAGCTGTAGAATTTAGCAAAAAGTTCCGGTTGTTCACTCACTTCTGGATTTTAGTCTTGTTCCTTAACTTGAAATTTGCTTGCACATCTGTTTTACAGATCTGGCTTACCATTTTGTGGATTAGTTTTGCTGAAAGTGTAGCAGTAAAATTAGGTGCTGGTTAGAATTTTTTTTAAACATGAAAAGAAGTTTACAGTTTTGGTCTTAAAAAGTTATCTTAAAAAAAAAATTTTAGCGTAAAAAATAACCAATAAAAAAAATTGCTATATGAGTGAACAGAAAAAAAAAAAGAAACTTTATAAACTACTGCTATCGCTTTGGAGTTGACAAGATGCTGTGCACAGTTCATTTGTGCAGTTACAAAGTCATCTACAGTGACTTTTCTAAGGCCACTGTTGGCCAGTGTTTTTATAAAAGCACTATTTATCCAAATAGTTCATTACGTTTCAAATCAAGAGTTAAATTGATTGATGTACATGGCCATTCCAAGAATAACCGCAATAATAAATCATTTATTAAACCTTTTGATAAATAGCTGGCTGATTGGTTAACAGCGTTGGGCTCTGTCATGTGACAGACCCAGGTTTAAATCCTCAGTAAGGTAATGGTCCTAACATGTAAACATGTACAGTCCTTGGAGACTGCACTAGCCATGTAGCCCTAAATCTTTAGGCTCTTTGCTACACTGCAAAGATGTTATTGTTTTGTTTTTTACAGTAAACCTTTGCTTTCAGGATGGCAGCTAAATGACCATGAAAATTTACACAAGATAATGAATGTAATTAGATGAAAAAACCTGTTTAATGCATTTAAGCTATTTAATCAGAGAAGCTGACTAATGTAGAGCTCTGGGAGAGAACTAAGCAAGCTCCAGTGAACCAAGAGGTGAGTAAAAGACACTGGCGTTGGATATGACACATATTGAGAAATACAGAGAATGTCTTTGTTATGGAACCAACAGGGGCATAGGAAAAAAGGAAGGTCAACAAACACACGGAGAAGAGTGCAGGAGAACGAAGTTAGAAAGAGAGCTCCATGTAATAGCAAAGGATAGAATGACTTGACCTGAGTTGGTTGAAGGCCTATGCTCCATTGGGGGATAGAAAAGCAGAAGAAGAAGAATCAGGAAAGCTAGTAAATTAATATTTCATTTATCTCACTGTTCTTTTATATACCTTTTATTTTCAACATATTTGTGTGTCGTTAATTTTATTAAACCAAAACAGTTATAATGTTTTTTGGAGTGTTTCTATTTAAAGCGTTAGGCAACTGAAAATAATATATGTAGTTATTTCTGACTTTGAGTTTGAATGCCATTAAAACATTGCTGTGTCTTGGCTTTCCTTTAAATTAGTCACTTTATTCTCTGCCAGTTAGGGCATTCTAGATCATTTCCTAGGGTTCCAGAAGAAATCTTAGGGTTTATCTTTACCTAATGTGGTCAGCTGCATAATTCATCCTAATTGTTGTGCTGGTGTCTCTTGCATTCATGTTCGGCTTAAAAATAGTTATTGAAGCCTAATCTGGTGAAACTCCATTGGTGGGGGGGGGGGGGGGGGGGGGGGGAGAATCTACACATATTTTGTCAGAAATGAGGGAACAGATTGAAAAATTAAAATAAAACTACAAAAACCTTTCATAGCAGTAAGAAATCTGTAGGAGTCAAAATAAAACCAAACACAACCTTGGAATAATTTAAATTTAATGTCAAATCAGTACTGCAATAGGAGAAGAAACACAAGAGAATTGAATACAAGTTATAATAAACTACAAATAATAATTAACTATATGAAAAAAATTGAGTAACAGCATCATTAATACAGAACACAAGGAGAGAACTAAACAAATTACAATGAACAGAAAGAAAAGTGGAAAAGATGCTGATGCTGGATAGGACACCCATTGAGAAAGCTTCTAATGATAGTTTAACTATACTGTCCATTTATTGAAGCACACAGCCCAAAAGAAATAGAGGGAGATTTAAAACACACCGAGAGGATAATTAAAGAAATTAATAATATTGGGAAGACATGACAAGAGCTACAAGAAATTTAAAAATAAGACAGCTTGCTGTGGGTTGTTTCAGGGCCTAGCTCCATTTGAGAATCTTCTTCTTGGTATTCACTGGCTATAAACTCTGGCAGAAGGACATGGTTTTTCATCTGCTTCTGAATTTTGGCCTTGCTCCAGGACTTGAATGTTGCGTTCACATATATTTTACAGATCTGGTTTATGGTTGTTCACAGCTTCTGAATTTTGGCCTTGCT